GGTGCGGCGGGGGAGGTATGCCGTAGTCGTTAGACCATTGACCTCGCATCCCTACAAAGCCGGGACGGAGCACGCCGGGTTCTCACCGGACCAGGCTCTAGAAAGGGTGTGTGTTGGCTTTCCAGCTGTACTTGTAGTGGTGAAAGAGTCGTCGTAGCTTTTGCCGCCCGGGAGACAGAATGCACGCATGCCGAAACTGGGATGACGTTGGCGGCAGCCAGCTGCCGAACGATGTGAATATTTTCGTTTCTTTGCGCTTTCTTGCGCGTGAACTTGTTGCCTGCATTGGAAAAGACGCGCACACCCGCACGTAGGCTCACAAAAGCGCTCCTACAGGTGTATCCTTGGCGTACGCCATGGGAGGGTAGAGAGCACAGCAGTAACGTTTGTTTCTTGGGAGACTTTTCGTGATGTTACAACTGCGACCGCAAGGCCTGCTTGTGACCGCCCCGCGAGCTTTAAAGACGTTACAATATCAGATACCCCAGTAGTCTACGCAGCAATATTAATTAAGCAAACATATGGGATAAAGTATTGAATCCGTGCTTTGGGGTTGGGGTTAGGGTTAGTTTTTTTTTTTTTGTAGGGTTAGGGTTAGGGTTTGGGATAGTGTCTGCGTGACCCCTCCCTACTCTTTTTCTAGATAGAAACTCTTAAAACCCTGCGTAGGCGATCCCAGATACCGGGCGGAGAACAACTAACAACTAACAAGACCCACGACAACGGCAACGAACCACGCAGGGTCACGCCGCTCATGTTCTCGGTGCAGTACTGCGGGATCGCGAGGCTCCGCAAGAAGGAGCCCTGGGCGAAGTTTGGGGCGACGATTCAGGAGCTGTTGAGGGGGGGAGCTTCTGGTAAGCGTGTCTCTGTCTGTCGGGAGCGGGGGGGGTGGGGTGGTCCGCGTCTTGGTATTTTCGTTGCAGCGCGGACGCCTGAGCGTCACCTCGTGAAGAGCAATGTAGCAGTTTCGGTCTCAGCGGAATGATGTATTCTGCGGAGCCGCTTGATGGGTGGGCCGAGATTGAATGGGAACATACGGCGTCCGTGTTCCAAGAGAGCTCGCTGGGCAATGGGATGTACTAGGCCGTGCATCGTTTTTTGTTGCGCCGAAGTGCGCTGCGTGAGAGAGAGGGATTGTTGGCCCGCGAAGGTATTGAAATTTTGCAGTTACGGGGTTAGCTACTACACCGATCTGGCCAACCCGTAGTGGGGGACTCGCAACCCGGGAGATGTCGAGGGAAGTTTTGGGGGGGGGGGAGGGGGCGCTCGTATTTTTCGTTTTGCTGTTGTAGTCACTTTGATCGTTTGTAAGACATGTTGACCCGGAACCCCTTTGTCTTTGTGTTTGTACTCGTGAGGGGGACGTTCGAGGTAGTCCGTCTCTTCCGTTTCGTGGGGAGACCCTTTCTGCTCCTCCCTCCCTCTCTTCCTCACTGTAGCTTGGCGTGTCGAGGCGGCCCATCTTTTTTGTTTCTGTCTCCCACGAAACGCGGTGCTTTTTTGTTCCCACCGTATGTATGTTATCGAGTGCATGCCAAAATCCATCCAATGCCGGGGGGAGTCGGATGGGGCGGGGTGGAAGATGTTATAGCACTACCAGGTACCATGGCTCGTTGATTGCACCCAGACAGAGAGAAAGAGGGGGGGGAGAGAGAGAGGGAGACAGTCAGAGGGAAGAGAGAGGCGGGGGGAAACACAGATGAAAAGAGAAAAACGAAGAAACAGAACGAGAAACGGACAAATTATAAGAATGCTGGTCACACCTACGAGAGGCACAATCGCAACTTCGGGCGTGCGAAACGAGGGTCTCTTTTCATCTGTGTTTGCCCCCGCCTCTCTCTTCCCTCTGTCTGCCCCCCCCCCCACCCTCCTCAC